TATAAGAAGTCAGAAATCTCCCAAAAGTGCAGATATGTATTAAATAGTCAGAGCACTATTTTATTTAAAAAACACAGTTACTAATATCCATGAGCATTTTGAACATTTTATAGGTGCAGATTCATACGTCACCAGCATGAGCTCTCAGCTCTGGTGCTTTTTATGCGCCTCCAGATTCTCTCCTACTCGCCTGTGGACCTGTTTCTGTGCGCTCATGTCAACTTTTGTCATTCAGAGGGTTGAACCAGCCTGAGAAAGTAAACTGCCTGTGATTGGCTACTTTTTAGGGAATCCAACCAATGGCGTAACTATCGGTAAGCAGAGACTGCAGCTTCTTTAGGGCCTCCGACTTCTTAAGGGCCCCATCGCTGACACCTGGTGGGTCCCTTATGCAATTTTGAACTAGGATGTCTCTTTGCAAATATAATGGTGCATAAAATTCTTCTTAAACCCACCTGACCACAACACATGGTAGATTTCATCATGATGGTGAGCCGTTTAAACACGACACCAATAGCAAAGCAGACAGTTGGTACTTTTATTTACTATGTTAATAACTGTGTATAGTTCATTAGATGGTTTGTAAAAAAATACACTCAAATAATATGTTTCAAACTGCAATAATGGGGTGTTGTACTTCATATGGGGCCCACCCTGATAATGTTGCTTATGGGCCTATTGTTGTCGTTAAAGGCACACTATGCAACATTTTTCAGTTAATTAATGTGTTCCATAACGTTTTGGATGATTAAATGAGTCATTTCAGGTTGAACAAAGGTTTTCTCGGCCCCCCTGGTGGTCTGTGGGGGAAATACCGCACTTGCAATTGCAGGAGCCCTCGACCCGCACCCACAGGCTCAGAAGTCTTGCGAGAGTCGGTCTTGCAAAATCTGCATGGATCTAACAACTTGTTGAGTTTTTTGGGGACAGTGATAATTATAAAGTCTTCCAGCTGCTGGGAGGAAGGATCTGTGATAACGCTCCCTGGTGCATTTAGGGTGCAGCAGTTTGTCAATAAAGGAGTTCTCCAGTTCTGCAACAGCTTCATGCTTGGAGCGGTAGACATTATCCAGCAGATATGTTAATTTAGTTAGGGTGCTTTTGTTTCGGAACTCCTGCACTGAGTCCAGAGGGTATTCAATCACAGAGCTGGCCTCCCTGATCTAGTAACCAGAAAAGTTAGCAAAGCATCTTCAGGCTAGCCGCTGTTCTCTTAAACAGTTAAAACAAATAAAAGTGAAGTCATCGTTAAATAACAGTTTAAAACAGTCATAAATGTGTTATTACTAGTGTTACATTGATACCAGTATCAGGCGGGGCCCGATCCAGCACTAAATGGTGGTATCGCTATCGGCGAGTACCAACATATAGGGCACGGATACCATTTTGAGAGCCAAAAGTTTCTTAAACCATTATCACCCATTCCAGGATTGCAATAAAAAGTTTTACTGAATTTACTTTGTATTAGTCTTTTTCCTGCCTCACAAAGGTAGGCAGCAGTTTGACAAAGATATGATGGAAATTATTTAACATATATACAATTCTTCATATATACACAGAGATGGGAAGTAACGAAGTACAAATACTTCGTTACTGTACTCAAGTAGATTTTTCTGATATTTTTACTTTACTTTACTACTTATTTTCATGGCGACTTTTTACTTCTACTCCTTACATTTTTACACAAATATCTGTACTTTCTACTCCTTACATTTTAAAAAATTGGCTCGTTACTTTAGTTTTGAATCATTTCAATGGAGTTACCGTTATTATTTTTCACGTCATCAATACCAAATTCAATCTAATTGGATGGGAATCTACGTTGCATTTGACGCACCACTACAAGATGAATCGACAAATTCGGCGGTATTCATTGGCGGCAAATCATTGCAGCTTGGTGGCGGTGGCGTTAGCATAGTAGCATGGACGACGAGATGATTGAAAATTAACACAACGGAGATCTAGTCCTATTGGCAGACATCCATTTAAAATGTAGGCAACGGCATGAAAAAAGTGGTTTCTACTTTTACTTTTATACTTTAAGTAAATTTACAAGCCTGTACTTTGTTACTTTTACTTGAGTAAAGAAGTTTAATCAGTACTTCCACTTTTACCAGAGTATTTTTTAACACAAGTATCTGTACTTTTACTCAAGTACGGAAAGTGAGTACTTTTGCCATCTCTGTATATACACACACACACATCAATTTCAAACAGATGGTATCGGTATCGGCCAAGTCAGGTATCGAGTATCGGTATCGGGGCCAAAAAATGGCATCGATGCAACACTAGTTCTTACAGCAGCAGCAACAGGCTTTAATAGGATTAATGTTACATTTGGAACTTTGTACGAGTTAAGATAACAATAGCTTCACTGTTTATGTTGACAAAGTACAGATTGATTGACGACCATTTATATCTTAACACAGACACTTACATTTATTATCTGTTTGCAGCTGCTGTTGAGCTTTTTCTTTTTATGTTTTCTTTTATGTTTGTGTTACAAAAATTTTCAGTTGATGATGGAAATGACTGCTGGATACGAAGTCAGAATTCACCTCTTGAGGAGAAAAGCTCTTAGCCGGAAGATGCTTTGCTAACGTTCCTAACAAAGACCAGGAATAAAACAGAACAAACTCAAGAGGCGGGATTCCCTGAAAAGTAGCCAATCACAGGCAGTTTACTTTCTCAGGTTGGTTTCACCCTCAAAGTGATAACAGTTGACATGAGCCCAAAGAAACAGATTTACAGGCGAGTAGGAGATAATCTACAGGAGCATAAAAGGCGCATGGACTCATGCTGGTGACATACTGGTGGTCTCATGGGATCTGCACACATAAAATGTTCCAAATGCGTGTGGAAAGTAATTTATGTGCTTGTGTGTTTTGAATAAAACTGGTTGCATGAGTATTTATAACACATCTAACCTTTTGACTGAATTCTGACTGACTGTCCTGGTTCTCAAACTTAAAGTTATAAGAAATTAGTTTGTTCAGCTATGCTAGAATAATTATTAGAGTTTTTCCCCTTGCAAAATCTAAGATACGACCAAACATTCAATGATAAACTGAATGTTTTCACTTGTTGGGTTTAAATTTGACTTAAACTGGAATTAAACAGAATCTTAATCTAAATGTGTTAAAATAAGTTGGAATTGAAATGTTACTGAATTAAATCTCACCTTACAGATTTAATTGGTTACATGACTTTTGATGTGAACTGAACCAATATACTTGTTTCCCAGTGATGGAAATGGTCTGACTTTGGTTCACATGCAGACCAGTCATCTATGCCAACAACAGATCTGTAAAGTCTTCACACTGAAGTTTAAGTGTCTGGCTTTTATAATATTCAGAAACAAAATCATGATACATCCCTGCAAAATGATTTTCCAGAAACCAATTTGCTGGAATGTGAGTAAATAAAATAATAATAAAAGCCTGGATGCATAACTCGAAATAATTAACAGATCGTTTTTTAGGATTTGGTATTTCATGGTGAATTTAAATAAATTCAATCTCTGACACCTTGCTTTGATTTGATCAAACTTGAATTATTAATCCAAAATAAATTAAAAAAAGCCCTGACACATCATAAAAATACATAGCACTGTAAATCTGGTGGCAGCATCGTTCTCCAGGTCTGGTTGTTTTAGTCTTGGTGGATTATATAATAAGTACTTCTAAATAAACATAAAATAATCCATCAGCCAGCAAATTTTTTGGCTGATTTTTTTTTTCTTTTCTTATATCTGCCGATACGTTCATGCGTTAGCTGGTTTATGATCACATTCAGCACCCATGCCTTGAGATCAAATAAGGAACATCCTAATGCTACGTTCACACCGGACGCAGCAGGAGCAGCAAAATCGCGTCTGCTGCTTCCTTTTTGCTGCTTGTACCAGTTAGTTCTGACGCGCGGCTGAAGCAGCTTTGCTGCTCTAGCTGCGCGGTGCAAAAGTGTCTGACGCGCTTTGGGCGGAGCTTCACTATCCTTTCTCTGCCTTGCAGCTATATTTGCTGTGATCAGTGGGAATAAAGTAGTTTTAATATGTTTTTAAGTGGGAAAATTCACCTGAAAACTTAATCAGTGCAGTCAGTTCATCCAGATTACAATCCTACCTTCCAATATTATTTCTGTCGGAGCCGCTCAGACCCCCACATACCAGCGGTGCGCTGTCAGTAGGAATCCCATTCCACAGCAGCCTCTGGCTGGGTCGCCTCCTCGCGGTTCACCGCAGCGGCTGGTAGGTGTTTTTCATCTAAATAATCTAAACTGCAGGCACCAGGATAATAAAAGCGAACATATTCTGTCGGCAGATTTCAGCATTTTAAGTTAATTTATGCGTCAATAAACTGTTTCAGAGGAGTGATCACAGCACTCTGTATCATCAGCGATGTGTCTGTCTCTCTGCCAGCTCCTAGATCAGCGTCTCTGATTGGTTGATGCAGCGCGTCGAGCAGCAGCACGTTTGCGGCGCGTCACGCACGTCAGATGCTTAAACGCTCCCGACGGGCTGCTTCAGCTGCTCAGACGCACTGCGGGACCTTTTGCGCTCGCCTTGACGCGCGTCAACCATTGGCCGTTTCTCAGTTCACGAGAACGCGAGTACGTATGTGTATTGGAACAGAAGCGTTCTCGTGACGTCATCACATGCAATGTTCTTTAGCATTTCTTTAAGAGTCAAAACTATTTATTCCTTACACAAAACATTTTGAAAACAATATTTTTAATTTCTAAAGCTTAAAAAACATTAAAAAAATTACCGAACCGTGGGTATAAAACTGCTGGTCACTCTGGTCCGTTCAACGTTGGACTTTTTTTTTTTATTTCGCACTAACTCTGTAAACAGGCCACACAGGGAGGCTTAAATGTATAATGTTATCGCCTCAAACGTATCAAAACGTACTTTTGAAGAACAACAGCAGCAGAAAAGGGAATGTTTAACTTACCACTGTGAGCGCTGTCTCGAATCAAGCTGCGGCCGCGGGGCATTCTGGGGAAGCGGTCAGTATTAGAAACGTACAAGTCTGCTCTGATGCATGCTCGATAAAGAGGGCGGGGCGAAAACAACATCCGGGGAATTTGGTGCGTTCTCGAGAATCGGAACGGTACCCGGGCTGAGGCTGATGATGAGTACACAAGCAGACGAGAACGCTCAAGAACGCATAGTGAGAAACGGCCATTGACTTTGCATGCAAACTCGCTGCTTCTGCTGCGCCTGCTGCGTCCGGTGTGAACGTAGCATTAGCCTCTATTAGCTATTCGTTGTTAATTTTTTCCCCCTGATTTGTAAATGTTTCTTCTTATTTTTTTATTGTGACCCAATTTCAAAAACTATTGTTCATTCCAAAGGTCCTTTCAGGTACATCTTACAATCTGGTCTCAGTTTGGACGAGGCCTCAGATAGAGAAAACTAAAACACTGGTCTGCATGTGTGAGAAAATGTCTTAAAGTCAGACCACCTCTGGTGATTATGTAAACTCCAGTGGAATGAGGGTTTGCTACAGTTGTTCTAACAGTAAGTGAAAAATTTGTTTGGCAAAATAATTTAACCTCAGTTTAACCCTCTAAAACAATTAAAGTAGCTGGTAGTAATTATTCTATTGTTTTCATTTTGTGCGTTCTCACATTTTCCTTTAATGAGACCCAAATGGCAGGATGTGAGGGGACTGTTTAGAGGATGTAAGAGATTAAGACAACGTGAGAACAGCAGCTTATATCCTGCTTTATTATTACATTTCAACTTTAAAGATGATTTAATTGTGTTTTGTTTTGAACTTTGGATGAGGAAATTGTTACTTGATCATAATATAAACCTTAATTAATGGTTCAGACATCTTTTTCTTTTGTAAAAACTCGATGAGCTGAATCTAATTCTTATCATAAAGTGAGGAAAGTCAATCATAAAGCTGGTAAATAAAGCCCAGTGAGAACCTGCCTGCTGTAAGGACTGCATGAAAAATGCCCACATATACTGCTGCTTCCAGAGTTTGTTGTTTAAATCAAACCCTGGATCATATTTGGCACTTGACAGCGAGCCCAGCAGTCTGGGTTCGGCTCTGCTGTTCCTGAGTCGGTGGCGCTGTTAGCATATATTACCGGAGTGAATATTCCAGAGAGAGTGTTACAGGTTACAGTCACAGGAGTTCAAATGAATCAGAGCAGAAAGTGGAACGTTTTTAACCCCGTATCGTTTACAGAAGCAGGACGCAACGAAACGAAGGAGCACTAAAAACATATCCAGGAGGTCGGAGTGAGAGGAGGATAGAGAGGATGACCCTGGTACCGGGGGGGCGAGTGGTCCGCTTCACAAGGCCAGAGCCCTGGCTTTGGCAGAAGCTGCCTGCGCTCTGTGAACAGCTCCATGGCTGCTCCCTCTCCTCGTCAGCTGGTTGGTCTCAAACAGGCCCTCATGGGCACCGCCGCCTCCTCCCCCGTCCATAAATGTCAGCAGGCCTGGAAGAGAGAAATAAAGGAGGTTTTCTGTGAAACCGGCAGCGTTGTACTTTCCTCTGGTCAGGAAAACCTGACTGTGCACAGAGAGGATTCAGGTGTCTGTCAGATACATACATTGATGTTTTTATTGAATCTTTATGGTTGGAACAAATAATCTTTATTAATCGATTACTGAAATAATCTTCAATGTTAAAGAATTTACAATCCAGAAATCAAACTTGAAACTCTTCTTAAGCCGGGCATACACCGTAAGATTTTTTTACCCTTTTCGGGCCGATTTTTCAGTTTTGCGAAAATGTTTGATCGGGCCGACTTTAAGCCTGATCGTGCGTCGTGTACAGGGGGCGACGAGGGGCGATCAGCCTCACAACCACCTAACGATCATAAACTCTAAGGTCGGGAGAAAATCGAACTTGTTTGAAATTCAGTCGGCCGTCGTAAGGTGGTCGTCGGCAAATCCCTCAGTGGGCAAACAAGGATTCTTCTTCTTCTTCTCAGATGAAAACACAGAAGCAAGGTGGGGGTGCAAAGAGTGAAATGGAGTTCTGTCTGTAAAATTGACAGACCGTAGTAGCCATGTTTGCTCAGCCATGTCTTTGTCCAAATGCGTCGTCGCCTTTTCTTTTTAGGGCTTTCAGCACAAAATTGCACAAATTTCCAAGGCAGCGCGTTTCACTCTAGTTAGCTTTATATTTAACATTAGGCATCAAAACTTCCGTCTTTATCCTCTTCCACTTGTTTGGTTTCCGGATAGAAGAGTCCAAGTAGAGCCATCTCACCACGGAGCTGAGTCCGACCTGGTTTTTAGACGTACACTTTGAAAAAGGATAGATCGCACAGTGTGAGAAAATGCATTGTGAGCTGTGAAATCACACTTAATGACAAACCACAGGGTGAGCTGTAGCTAGGGGTGTGAATAATAATCGTTTTGAATCGATGCATCGATCCAACAGCCGACGATCCGATTCATCGATACGTCCGCAAGAGAATCGATTCATGTTTTTTTTCCCTCCGGTCTATTTTTATCCATTTGCTCCTGGGCGTATTTCTCCCTCCCGTGCTGCGGTGGCGCTAAACCTATTTTGCTCTCCTAACTCGCTTCCTAGTTATACTCTTACAGCAGTGTGTTGCAGTGAGCTTGACACAGACATTTTTAAATTATGCTTAATATTGAAGCGTGGTCTGAGCTACACACTGTGGGTCTAGATACGGCCGAGGCGGCGAGGAAGTGGGGGCGAGTTTAGTCCGACGACGGAGCGACATGAGGGCCAAAAAGGGCGGAGATCCTTGGGAGAAAAGCCAGAGGAAAACAGAGGAGTCTTCAAAAAGGATTTAAAAGAAAACAGTGAAGGAATCTTAAAGAGAGATAACCTCAAAAAATAAAATGAAATAAAACAGCTGGTCCACAGCCCTCAGAAACCAAGCTTTTTACCACAGATTTCCCTCTCTTTTAGTTTGAAATTTCTTCCTAAAAGGTAATGTGAAAAAAGCTGAGATGGCCATGAGTAAGTCCGCAGACGATTAGTCTGGATCATGCACAAAATGTTAGGGGCCTTTAGTGGGGCTGCATTTCTACTATACACTGAACTGGGTCGAGATGCGATGGATGAAGAAGCTGAGGAATTAATTCTCTTTCACTTCTTGCCGCCCTTGTTTGGTAGCTATTAGAACTTCTTTTTGGCTCATATCAGGGCAGAACTGTTTTCCTCTGTGAAACCTGACAAATACACGGATTTAATTTAACCTGATCATTTTTTTTTTGTTTCCCCTTTTCTGCTTAAGCTGAACATAAATAAAGCTAGAAAAAGACTTGAAATCAATCAAAAATTAACATATTTCTTCCCCTGTGAAACAATTTAATTAGGCACTTCACACATCCTTAATGTGACAGGTGCGTAAGAGAAAAAATTGATGAAAATTTATAAGTCACTGTCCAACTTGCAAGAGAAGACATGTTTGCAAAGGTTCTGTAAAAGACTGTGATCAGAAAAAAAACTGTTTCGCTGTGAAACTAAATGATAAAGTTTGCTTCCCAGTTATCAGTGGTTTAAATCTAAATGTAAATCCCTTTATTGCCCCAGAATGGGGAAATTCACTCTGCATTAAACCATCCCCTTGGGGAGCCATTGTGTGGCACTCAGGGAGCAATCAGGTGTTAAGAGTCTTGCTCAGGAACCCAGAGTGGAGGCTGTGGGGATCAAACCGGGTACTTGCAACCTTCTCAGAGCACAAGTGCACTGCTCTAACCACTAAGCCAACACTCCCCAGATGTTTAATGTTTGGGATAATTTTTCATATGGATAATTCAAATGCAATAGCCCTGGTTATACGAAAGAACAGCGATCTATTACAGGGTTCCTGCGGGTTCTTAAAAAGTCTTAAAAGGCCTTGAATTCTTCAAAAGAAAATTAAGGCCTTAATTGGTATTAAAATGTCTTAAATCAATCTTTCATAGGTCTTAATTTTTAAAACATCATAAATAGGATTCTTTTTATTATGATTTATTTTTGTAATCTAAATAAAACATTAAAATTGACCAAAAAATAATGGCTTGCCATTATTGGTTCCGTCCAGATAGCGGAACCAATAAAAGCGTTGTTGCGGCCGGGACATTTTGGAGATGCGCCATTAACTTTTTGTCTGGAAAATATGAGCAAGTGTAAATGTAACCAAAATTGTCTCCAGCCAAGAGTTTCCTCCATGGATAAAACCAGGGAACATACATGAGGCTCAGTGGATTTAGTGCAAGAAGCGATTCAAGCTCAGAACGATGGGAATTAAGGCAGTGGAGTCGCACATGCGAAGCACGAAACACAAAGCGTAAAAATTGAGTTACCGAGAAACAGCCGGTATTTCTCAGTTTTGTTCCACCCTTGTCTCTGCAACGCCTCCACTTATCACCAAATCAAACATACTAAGAAAACGATACAAAGAAAAATAGCTGCAAAAAGACTTAGCACTGGTTATGTTGGGGCTTTAAAACTGATTTGTTTTGTTCCCTGCTAAAACAAAGTTTGTAAATTCAGTTAAATAATTGTTAAAATATATCTGTCATTTGTGTGTTTTTAGCTTTCTTCCTGTATGGGAAGCTTTTCAAAATTTGAAATATTAGTGCAGTGGTTTATGTTATAATAAACCTTTGGGTTAAGTTGTTGCAAGCAGGTTTTTCTTGTGTTTCTTGTCAATTTGGTCTTAAATTTTTATTTCAAGTGGCATTAAAAAGTAAAAAAAAGTCTTGAATTTAACTTGCCTTATAGTGTAGGAACCCTGTATTAGCAGTGTTGCCAGATAGAGTCGAGGTTTTCCAGCCCAAACATCTGTTAAAAACTGCCACATCACACAATAACCCGACCAATTAATATATTGCTATATTTTCTGTGTGAACATGAACACCCTCAGTACAACTTAATTCAAGTAGTTTTCCATAAACATCTCTTACCCAGCCACCACAGCACCGTCAAATCCAGTGAGTGTCATGTGGCACATCATACATACCGGTACTAACATGTTTGCAGATGGATTCATAAGCACGTAGACAACTCCTCTTTTTACATTTAGAAGACAAACTACAATCAGTGCGAACACACAAATATGCTAAGCTTATTATTACATCACTGAAATAATTACATTTATTATGGCTGAATTTGAATTCTTACCTTTAATGATTTTTAGATTGTTGGCTGGAACATTGAACATCTGAACCCTGAACTTTTACTCTGGCGAACTTCAATACAGTACAATCCATTGTGATTTGTGATGAGTACATGCAGGGGAGGATCTAGGATTCTAGGAGATCAGGGCCTTAGCCCCAAGGGTGAAGATGAGAGAGTAGACTTTCTTCTAAATCCCGTTCTAATGTAAAATATGACAGATTACTGGATTAAAGAAATTTCTACTATACTACATGCTATCACACATAAAAATTCCCCCTCCATTACATGGGAAGAAATGAATTCACCTGCAAGTCTTTAACTGTGTTTATCCCTCTCTTCATCAACAGCAAACTCTGTGGATTTGGTCACATTTGATCATTATTTGCCAAAGTTGTCAGAGGGAAATAATATATTTTAGCCGCCTGATAGAATCTGTTTCCCCAGAACATGGGAGAAAAATAAACAAATCCAGTGAAACTTATTTTTCATATATTATGTTTAAAACATTTATTATTTTAAATTTTTAAATCAAAAATAGTTGTTGGATTATCTTTATTTAATGTATTTTAATTCTCAATTCCAAATGTCTGCAATAGCATTGCTCCAGACATTTGGAATTAAGAAACATCTTCAAACTTGGAAAACAATGTCCAGTTGTTTTGGTTTGAACTTTTTTTGGAATATATGTGAATTGTTAGATAAACATTTAAACAGAAAATATATTTCATAAAGATAATCAAAGGGGGAACGGATTATATCAGGTGGCTAAAATATAGGATTTCCCTCTCATAAATTTGGCAAATAATTATCAAATGTCACTAAATCCAGAGGATTTGTTGTTGATGAAGAGAGGAATAAACACAGTTAAAAATGTGCAGGTAAATTAATTTCTTCCCATGTTATGGAGGAGGAACGGATTATTTCAGGCAGCTGAAACATCAAGTCTCTCCTCCTCCCATATCTTTGGGAAGTAAAAAGCATCTGTTTCCAGATTCTCAAAAATTGTTTGTGTGATATCATGTAGTAGGAATGTCCTTAATCCAGTAATCTGTCATATTTTACATTAGAACGGGATAAATCAGAAAGTCTACACTCTCATCTTTTCAGGAATATTTGTGTCCTGCTATCAGCCAGTTTCCATCCTCTGATATCAGCAATGAAAAATGATAAATACTCACTACTTGTTGGAAAGCTGTGTTTGGTGACTGACTTTTATTTCTGTCAGGTCTAAGTGACAGAAGTTGGAAAAAGACGATTTTCTTGGCGTTTAAAATAACACAAAATAGCTTTAAAGCACCTCGTCTATTTTTTTTATTTTACAATTTTGTAAACAACAGCTCCTGATTA